TCTCAACACATCTTTATTATCTGAGTGTATGAATATTCTCGTCAGAAATGTCTGTGACATACTCTTCCCGAAATCGATTAAATGAGATTTAGAAGTGCTATGTCTTTTTAGGGACAAGTTACTTTATATAAAAAACATCCCGAGTGCCTTTTCCGAGTTCAGAAAGAGGTTTATGTTTCAACAAATTGCAATGATATTAAGATAGGTTGTGTATACATTTGTAAATAACTTTAAGCCTAATTCGACATAGGTAAAAACAAATAGCAAAAAATAAGTTTATTTTAGTTCCCATAGTAACGCTGTTTTCGTTTTAATATTTTGACTGCTGAAATAACAATGACGAATTTTCAGGATGAATTCAAAAATGGATTATGTAGATAATCTGTTGAATGTTCAAGCAAAATTTAATTTACAAGTGTAATATCTTGAAGTTTCTTGGTCATCATATTAAAGTACTTAGATTGTGGTGAAGTTTAAATTAATGAAGTTAATGCTATGTAACAACGAATAAAAGTTTACAATAAACAGACCCAGTACACTCACATACACGTACACACACACACACATTATTACAAAGAACTAAAGTCTATAATGTTTAGAATGGATTAATTCGTCAGCTGGGTATAAAACCAATATTATCATCAGAGTTCGGCCAACTTCCAAGACTTAGGTTTCTACTAAATCCATATACAAAGCTATCTACGAAAATTAATCTTCGTAAGTATAAGAATTAATAATAATGAGAAGATTCAAAGTCATTTTGAACATTATAACCAATAATTAATGAAATGAGAAAAAAGAAGCATGCCATTACTAACAAAACACATAAAAACAAGCTGTTGTAATCCACACAGATTAGCAATATATGAAACCTGAATATAAGCGTTAATTTATTAGCACAACCCCACACCAATAACAGAAACTGATTGAAGAGCACTATAGGAAAGTATTTCAATGTTCTGTCGTTACTTCCTTAGCAAAGTGTGACATCAGTATAAGCAGATCTATATATAATCCTCCTAAATAATGCCGAGTGGCTAATGAAAGTCGATTTCTCGACCCGGCAATGTAGCTTTAAATTAATTGGACATCAAACAAAAATGGCTACCGACTTTTTAGCTGCAGACCCGGGAGCTGGAAGACATCAAAGGTGAAATGTAAAACAGATGTTTATTTATAGATAAATAAGCAACAAACAAAAAGAGCGAGAATTCAGATTAAGCATAACTGATGTGGAAAAATAAATCAAGGACGCAATGATTGTCTTTGATACAATACATTTAGTTAGATTGTAAGGTTGGTGAAGTTTTAGTAATAAATAAATAAATAACTAAAGCTTGTCTTTGAATCGTTACCTCTTAGAGTTAAGTTCTTAATGAAAAGTCAGTGATTCTTAGTGTTAATCTACAACTGGTGCAAGTTTTTGAAGTCAGTAATTTTATGACTTAACCTGTGTCTTCATCACATTTTAATGACATCTTCTCGATAGTAGTTTTTTTTTTTCATTATAGATATTTAAAAATCTAGGCTATTGTTGTTTCCGGTTCAAATTTTTTATTTTCCACGTCCAGTAGAAAAACGACAATAAAAATTGCGGCAGCCATTTAAATGATTAAAGTTTAGTTTCAAGTAAGAGTTTATTTATTTGCGTAGGCCGTAGTTTTGTATAATCAATTTTGTATTATTGGGGATTAATTCTTTTTGCGTATCGTTATATGGGTGTTTAGGAAAAGTTGATACTACTTGAAAATGTATATTTGCTTCAGAATTTTTGCTCAAGGCTACACAAAGGGTTATACCCATCTCTTAATTTTCAGCTGGTAGAATAAAGAGAGAGAACAGGCAGTCACCAGCACCTACCGCCAACTATCTGGCTACTAATATCTGAGCTAATAATGGGATTCGACCATAAATTTTATAGCTCTCACATCCAAAGTGTAAAACAGCTAACTTAGAATGCTTAACTTTTTATATCACTGTTTTCCAGAAAATGTACTCGTTGAACACTGTTATTTAAAAAGTCTCCAAATCTTTTCGTGGTTACTTTGATACACTTTGGACTGACATGGGTGCAAAATCTATATTTCCAACGATAAGTTAAGATACACACAGATCATAGCTGACGGTACAACGTAATAAATATAGTAAATTATCACGTTCTAAACATAACACAGGAGAGGGGGGTCTTCTATTAATCAGCTTCTGCATAATACGAACGGCCCCAAGCGCTAAAATAACATACGAGACGTAGTAGAGGGTGCACAGTGTATCATCAAACATAACGATGATATACGCAGTTTTTCATCAACTACTTGCATAAAGTTGAAATTAGATAGTCATATTGTCAAACACTAGCATCACGTTGAAACGACCTTTCATATTCCAGAGTGTTTACGTTTACATGTTAACTAGATAACCTCGAAATTTCTATAAAATTCCGTTTTTACATAACTACTGCCCATTAGCAAGGCGAACCACTACATTTGAATTATTAAGCGTTTTTAGCAATAACCCCAGTACTCGTCATGGGGTGAATTCAAATTTGCATAGTTAAATTTAGTCATTGCAAAAATTGAATTCAAAACTATTTTTTTTTTAGTTGCTTATCATTTGTTTGGCAGTAGGCCATGTAATACATGGCAATGTAAGAGAGCTGGAGATATTATAATTATCGTCAACCCGTTTCTTGAGATATATTAATATTCAACAATTAATACAGAAACAGAGCTGTTAGATGTTTAAATATATAATAGCTAAATAAAAAAAAATCTTGAAACACAAACGTCAGATAATCTGCTTATGGTAAATTTTCTGTCTGATTTTAAAGCATTCTTTTCTGATTGAATGGATCATGTATTAATATAAACGGGTCATTTATTGCTCTGATGAGTAAATGCAGTATCTTTTTTATTCCTTACAATACTAACTACTTTTTTTATGTTTTAATAATATTGGTTTTCTCTTAAGTTAATGAACATAATTTAAAATCATTAAAAATTAAGCTATAGGTATAAAAAGTTCCTTATTTATGCCATCAGATACAGCTATAGACCTTTGTGAATTTTGAGGTTAATCTTTATAAGAACAATATTCCAGTTCCGGAGCTGCTCTGAATCTACTTCCTTCATCGTAGACCGTACTCTGACCGATGTTAATAAATGCGCAATTTTTGTCCAGCTCAGTACTTTCCATAGTAACATGCTTTTGCTTAAAACGATCAGTCCAATCTCAAACCACAGGCTTTCACAACTCCTTCATTTTACGTGGTTGTCCATTTCCAAGACAACGTCTAAGCACACCAAAGATATAAATGTTTATTGGCAGTTATGTGGTAGAATGAGATTGCTGTGATTCAGCTATCTCTCTTATGATAAGACTTGTTGTTTTTGAGATGTGTCAGGAAACTTATGAGACTTCGTCAAATGTAAATCCTTTTTATTTTTATTTTTTTATTGTACCAGGATATTTTTAGTTGTTATAAAAGCACAAAGCTATATAATGGACTACTTGTGCTGCGTCCACCACGGGGTAACAAAACTCGTGTTTTAAAGATATAAGCCTTCCAAACATACCGCTGTGCCACGGGAAGGGAGGGAGAGCACCAAGAGATGTGTTTGGCTTCATCTGCAATGACATTTACAGATGAAATATTGCTATAGACCTGCTTACTTGGGATATAGAGTTAGGACCTGTCGTAATTCTAAACGATCTGCCTATAGACTTACTTACTGGGGATATTGAGTTAGTACCTGTCGTGCGAAATGTTGTGTAATTTAGTTTTAAATCAATTAATACCTTTGATATACGAATATCCTTTCTTGGAAAGGGCTGTGACACAAATATCCAACCATAAACATGCCCTCCCGTTATTGCATTATTGGATGGTTGCGAATGTGCAGTAAACAAATTATTTTGGCATTAGATACCTAAAACATGAAGCCAGTTTTTGCAAATAATTATATTTTTTTATCCCATTAGTGCATATATATTTCCACAAGTTTAAAACGACATAGAGTTTAAACTTGAAGCTTCAATTATCTATTAACTGATAATTAGCTTTATTTATTTCATATAAATGTCATTTATTATTTTTTATAAATCATTAGCAACTATTATTATCAAGCTGCTTTTGATGTATCAGTAATGTATTCATAATGGTATTTTGTGTAATTGTGTACTGAACCAGTTTCTTTGTGGCTTTAGGTAATAGTTATAAATGAAAGATGCATTTGATTCAAAACTATATAATGAAAATTTAATCCCTAACTACTAGAAATTCGGAATTACACTGCATGTGTATGTTAGCTTTACAAAATATATTATTGTTTTTTTTGGGGGGCTCAGAGAAGCAGCTCGTGACAAAAAGTTTGAAATCAGTCCTCAAGTTTAAGAGCTAAAAACTGTAACAGTATTCGAAAAATTTCTCCATATTACAAGCTTTAATTTTCTAAGTGTGTTTTAAACACAAACAAAGAAAACAATCACAACGGTCTCACAAATTTAACCAAAAATGAGATATAAAAAAATCGATTCGTTTTTCACATCCCTCGACATTTTTTTATTTCCAAAACAGTTCAACCAACATGATTTTATTATCTAATAAAAATACATTTTGTTTTATGCGAGGGATATCACGTTACTTTTTCCATTTAGAAACTTCCATTAGGAAGATGTATTAAACATATACTTTTAGAAAGGAATCATGTAGCTTGCATTTTAAAGTCTCCAAAATGTTTTCTGGAAAGTTCGTATTTAAAACAAGAATCACCTAAAGTATATGCAGCCTATAGAGATAACCTTACTACAGAAATTATTTAAGGTTTTGGTCTCTTTCAGAGTACATAAATTTCGACTATATCAGACCTGTCATATTTTATGACCCATCATATCCCACATGTCCAACAAACGAACATTAGTTATTTTGCGGACCACATGGGGGCAGTCTTGTACGGCAGACTGTGAAATCAACTATATAGGCAGGCGCATAGGAGATTCCCTTCACTGTGAATCTTCTTGACTCCCTGAAACAACTACTCCTTGAGACTGTGGAGACACGTGCTGACCACGAATATGATAGAAGGCAGTTTACTCTGTTGATTAATCAATATTTCTACATTCAACAAGCAAGTAAATCAGGCAAATAATACTTTGGTGTCAACCTGTTGTTACATTATTAAGTGAAGAGTATTTGTTTCGGACTGTTTTATTTATTTTTATAGAAAACATTTCATTTGCTTTTCTCAACTCTGAATCTCGCACCCCACTAGTGATAGATTGGACAGGCTAATTACTGCTGGTGAACTATTGTGTAGTGTAAACCGCTAAGACAAGACTACAGTTGCTTTTCCTCTACACACTCCCGTTATGATCCAGCTTCACGACTGTTAGGACATTCAGCTGAAAACAGTATGACTCATCTGGGACTACTTCATATCGCCGAACGGCAACAATTATCTTGTTGTTTCTTGATTCTAGTCGTTTACATCCTCTTTGTTATTTCAGTGTCAGGTAAGACCAGAGTCCTACTTAAACTGGTAAGAAGAGATCGCACGTTAATTTAGTTTATAACATTACTTGATTAGACATAAGAAACAATTTCTGGTTTGGCTTAGCGAAAACATACGGTTCTGAAATAAAATATCTGATGGCAAAAATCAACACTTGGAAGTACGAAAAATATTAATATATTTAAAATTTATCAAAACGAAGCCCTTGTCTTTTTTTTTATATATGTGATGTATTTAGGATTCTTTTTATGTATTTCATTTACTAAAAATTACCTCCGAAAACAACTTTTATTATTACAAATCCTTTAAATCTGAAAACAACAACAACTTTAGTTAACGTTTGTCCTCTATCTTTTCCATATTGCAGAGGACAATCATTTAACAGCTGTGTACTGATTTTACGGAGAGAATTCGTCGTTTGTACTGTTTTGTACAGTTGCTTGTAAGATGCTTTATCTTCAAATACACATAATTCAAGAAGTCTATAATAAAGTTTTACATTATCTTGTAGTTAAAACAATTCCTTAACTTTTCGTTTTGCCCATTTTTTATATTACTGGCGATAATGTTTGTAATGTTTTTTTCATTTTGTGCTACTTAAACCAAACATTTTATTAACATTTACAACTGTAACGGCATGAATAGAAAAATAAGTTACATTGATTCTAACCCGCAAATATAAATGCCATTGATATAAAAGAACTTTTAACATTTCTGTGGTTTAATATGGATTAGATATAGACTTTAAGGTTATGTCTAAAAGAGAGATAAACATAGTTTTTAGGGCTGTTTACAGCTGCGGCTCAGCAGGAATTAAACGTAACCTGTACGGCGAGGATTACGAAACAATGAACGTAGTTTCTTGGGCTCTATAAAGTTTATACGTGGCCTGTACGATTGTTACTTCACAACTATTAGGCGTAGAATATACAGCTGTAACTCAACAAAGATTAAATTTACTCTGGACAAATTTGGTTTATTAAAGAATAAACGTGATGTATACGACTGAGGCTTATTAAGAATTATATGTAGTCTCTGTAAAGCTGTAAGTTAACATAGATTAAATGTAGGGTGTGAAACTGTGTCAAAAAAGTCTAAGCGTATTATATTTATGGCTTGACAAATCTGTACAACTATGAAGGACTAAACTTGTTTCTACGCCCATGGCATATAATACAAAAACCAAATAAATGTAGTAATGTAACATGTGAGGCTTAAGGATTAAACATAAGGTGTATCACTCTATGCCTTATGGTATTAAACATAGCCCGTAAAGAAAGATTAAACGTTCTTTGTTCGGCTATGGTTTAAAAGGAAATAAATATAGCAGTGTAACTGTAACTTTTAAAATAAGCGTTGTTTGTACAGTTATAGCCAATTAGGTAATAAACTATTTTTTTTATATGCTGCAATTTAACAAGTATTGAACTTACTCTATACGACCATGGGATTAAACGTGAAGAAAAACACGTACTGTGTGCAGCTGTGGTTTAAGAAGGTATAGATCATATCTTGAGGAATTAAGATTCAGTTTCATTTCACAGAAATGGCATTTACTGCTTGCCTTTTACTAGGTAATGCGACTAGCTGTAACACATGCTTTAAAATATATATAATCTAAAGTTTGCATTAGAATGTGTTTACTGCAAAAACTACACGAGGATCAATTACACATTCGCTTCTAATTTTGAACTGATAGACTAGAGGGAAGGCAGTTGGTCAACAGCATCCACCACAGTCTCTTCGGTTACTCTTGTCTGATTGAATAGTGGGATTTGGCTATCCCTCTTATAGCGCACCCATAGCCTTAAAGAGCAAAGGGCGTTTGTGCGCAACGAGATCCGAACCACGAACTATCGGATTCTCATTAATCATTAATGCCACATCCGCCCCTTAGCTACGATTATTCTATGTTTTAAATACTGAGCAAATAACTTCATAACGTAGTTGGGATATTGTTCTCGTAAATAAACACACTAAAATTGCCAACGAAGTTCTAGTGTGTGTGTATCTATCTATCTATGACTTAATGACGAGAACGAGAAGTTTAATGGAAATTAATTTTGATTTTTAGTTTCAATATAATGTTTTGGATATATACTATTTCATAATGACAAATTAATTGCATTTCTTGTTTGCTTGTTGAATTCTTATTTTCATACAGAACATTTGCTAAACATATGATATTCAGTAATTAGCGATTCAGAGTTTAGTTTACAAACTTTAAAACAAATAGACTTAAACGTTGATTTGTTAAGAACACACTGATACTGACAGGTGTATGGAACACAATTAATTATCAGCAAAAATTAGGCTTAGTTTAGATGATTTAGTTTTCTCTAAACCATTATTGGGTAAGTTTAATAGCGTATACAGCACTAACTACCAATCTAAACAGATTCAATTATTTGTCAGTATTGACATGAATTATAATAAAAGTATTTGTTTGTCACTTTAAATAACCTTGTAAGTCTTTTTTAAGGTAGGTTTAATTAAGTAGTCTACAATACCGTAAGCTGCTATTAACGGTATAAGGTATGAGAGGTGAAATCTCAACTTAGTCCATTGTTTTTCTAAGTAACTTGCATAAACAAATTTTGATCTTTTCTCTCTAAGATATTACTACATAGCATAAAATCACTGGTGTTTCATGTCGAAATGGGGGAAATATTAAGTTTTACATGGATACCACTCTAATAAGTCAAAGCACTGCTACAAACTGAATGTACTTCCGAGGGGTCCCTGAAAGTGTTCTGTTTCAAGAATAAATAAAACCAAAATTAAGAGTAACAAATATTTATTTTTTCCTTGATTTTGAAGTTCATATGTCATGTTGTGTTGTAGTCTACAGAGTGCATAATTCTTCTCATGATTCGTGGCATGCACACGATTTACTGACGTCATGACAGTATAAACTGCATTGTTAAGCGTCCCTTATGTGACTTCATTTTAGTGTTTACTGACTGACTGACTGACACACAACACATAATTCTGTATTGTGGTGCGAGAGGCTAAAACAGGCGACTTTTCCGGGCGGCTCCTTCGGCCACCTTTCGGGAAAATTATTTCTAAAGCCATATTATTCTGATGTTCTGTGAAACTTTGCAACAGCAAAAGTTTAACTAATGAAATAAAGTTGGGAATACGTTTTTATTGTACAATATCTAGGTCGTTTTGGATTGACATATATATACTGATGTAAGACTACTTGGTTTTGGTTTCGTATTCCTTATCCCTTATTAACTCTCTTCCAATCTTCGTATACTTTTTAATCTCCTTTACTTGTAGCATTATGCCAGAATAAACTCATTTCCTGCTTTAACTCGAATGTTGTTATTGAGGTCATGTTGTTATTGAGGTCATGCTGTAATCCAAATTTATGATTATAGAAAATAATTCTTCCACAGTTAGAATTTAAGTTTTCGTGATAAAGTACTTGGTGAGCGTGATATATTTAAGATATATTATGGAATGACGTGTGAACTATGCTACTGGCTTTAAATATATACATATAACGAGTGGTAAAAGGTAGTTCAAGATGAGAACATAAAATGAATATATATATATATATATTACTTGCAATAAAATTGTATGAAATATCCAATTGAACTTCATCTACTGACATTTAATAATAATAATAATAACAGCAGTAATAATAATACACATAATGGCACAATAAAGATCACTGAAATAATAAAAAAAAACTTTAATATGTCTAATATTTACATACAAGGACTGAGTGTGGTCTAGATGTCAGTGTAACCGGACTATGAACTCGAAAGTTCCTGATTCTCGTGCCGTTCCCTCAAAACTTGCTCTGCACTGAGGGGCTGGGGATGCGCTATAAGAGTGACGATTAAATCCCCAATATTCTGTCAGAGGAAACTAGTCCAAGAGTTGCTGGTGTGTGTGTGCTGTTGATTTAACAACCTGTTTTTTTCTAGTCTGTCCGGACAAAATTATCTACACATAAGGCTTGCTGCAGTTTCTCTGGAAAATTCAAATAACTTGTTTGTTTGCTTTGAATTTCGCGCAAAGCTGCACGAGGGCTATCTGCACTAGC